TGGCTGATCAGAAGGAGCGACAACTTCAAGACCATCAGGAAGCACCTGCCCTTCAGGGGGGAGCAGCAAGTTTCCAGCCCTTTCCCCCAGAACGTGGGAGCATGCTTCCGTGTGGAATTCGCTTTCGCAGCCGCCGCTCAAAAGGAGGAGGATGAAGACAGTGGGCAAGGGCAGCCTGATTCAGACCAAGTCCCAGTGAGAACAGGAAGGAATTCCCATTTCCGAAAGCACTGCTCAACTGAACATGATCCCCGCCGGCCGGTCCAACATGTTCTGCTTTGGGATGGGTCCAGTGGCGGGAGGGAGTACAGATAATAAAACAGGCCTCTGGGAGTTACTCCCTAGAGCCCTGGTGGTACAGTGGGTTACATGTTGGGCTGCAATCCAAAAGGTCAGCAGTTCGAAACCACTAGCCACTCTGTGGAGAAAGTCAGGACTTTCCACTCCCATAAAGAGTTACAGTGTTGGAAACCTACAGGGGTAGTTCTACCCTGTCCTATAGGGTTCGCTGCATAGACTTTAATGACAGTGAGTTTGGTGTTGGCTTTTCTGGGAGTCACTGTGGCCAGGGGACCCGATACCAGAAGCAGACAGACTGGTGACCACTGTGTGAGCCTGTTTATTCATCGACAGGACAAAAAGGACGTGTCTGTTTTACTGTCAGGAGGCGTTACGTGATGCTATCAGTCTAAGGATCTAGAGCAGTGGTTCTTCACCTTCCTCGTGCCATGACCCTTTCATACAGTTCCTTTCCCCCAAACATAAAATTATTTTCGTTGCTACTTCATCACTGTCATTTTGCTACAGTTATGAATCAGGCGACCCCTGTAAAAGGGTCGTGACCCACAGGTTGAGATCCGCTCATCTGGAGCCTTGGGGCTGCTCAGAACCACAGGGGGCCAGGAGAACAGGGAGACCTAGCAGCCAATGTGGGGGCAGCGGCTCTCTCCAGCCCTGGTCTTGCCTGAGACAGCACCCACTGACCTGCATCCCTCGTGTCCACAATGAAGTCGGACATCTCGAAGGTGCGGCCTTCTGACAAGCCTCGGCCGTAGACTTTGGCCCGGCGGGCATCGCCGATCTCAGACTGGACCACCATGATGGACACGGGGCTGTTGGCCACGTGGCTGCCGTTCTTCTTGATGCTGACCAGATGCTCGCCCACTTCCCGGGGGATGAAGGATATGCCTGGACAGAGCGGAAGGGGACGTGTGTAAAAGGGGGAGGCCGGGGAGAAGAGGAAGGAAACAGGATTGCCTCGGTCACCGTCCAGTAACCGAGAGAGGCCTGGGCCCTGCTCAGCACCATGGCGCCCAAGGATGCTGGGACTTGACCACTGCTGTGACCCAGCGGGCCTGTCCCAGCACACCCTCCTGAGCCAGCCCTCGTCTCCATCCCGTACCCACGCTGCCTGACCCAGCCCAGAGGGCTCACCGATGTGGTTATTGGGCAGCCTCTTGAGGAGGCAGGGCTCATCCCGTCCCGACGGGGCCTTGATGCTGGCCGTCAGGGTGCTGAGGTCAGTCTCACTGATGTCGAGCAGGAAGTCAGCCGCAGAGCCCAGCTTCACCTGCGAGCAGCGTCTGCTGTCGTCTGGGAAACACACCCCAACACAGCTCAGGTTACACAGGCCACCCAGCAGGTGCGATCCACTAACCCCAGGGGAAGGGAACAAGTGCGCTGGGCAATAAGCTGATCTAACCAACCAGGAAAGACTTCCGTGCAAGCTGGAAGTGCCGGGAGGTGGGAGGACTGGGGTCATGGGCCCCTGGCACGGACCCTGGTTGAAGGTTCTCCCACCTGCCTGCTGGCCTCTGGGACATTTCTTGTCAACGCTCAGCAGATGCCCCATCAAGGGCTGTGGGCGCTTCTCAGACAGGCTCCAAGGCAGGGGCCTGAGCCACAACACAGCAAGCAGAACTGAACTCAGGAGCACGGGCTATGGGGTCAGAGCAGCCGGCTCTGGATCCCAGACTGACCGCAGGTGAAGGGGGCCCAGCAATGCCCTCTCTGAGCCCCAGGTTTGCCATCAGCAGTCTCTCCAAGAGTGCTGCTCACCCGACCTCACTGACCCAGGTGCCTCTGTGTGAGGACGCGGCATTTGAACGCTTGGGTTCAAATAAAAATCGTACCAGTAGCAGTGGCTGACAGCACGGACTCAGAGACCTCAAGGGTGTCAGAGGGGACCATGCTCCCTGGGGCCTTCAACGGCTGCCATCTGACAACAGGATATCTTGGAGCCTGATTGCATCACTCGCTGTTGCGTGGACTTGAGCCACTAAACCTTCGGTTAGCCACCGAGAACAAACTGCCTGCTGCACCGGGGAACCAGCACAATGTTCGGGCCCTCCATAGGACAGAGCTCTTGCTGGCCCCGGACCGACTGCGAATGAAGGACCCGGCCAGCCCTGCACAGGAGCTGCACTCCAGCTCCAGCCCGAGGAACCGCCCTGAACTGAAACCTCAGCCCCCGCCCCCCAGCCCCGCTGCTGCCTGCTGGCCCAGGTTGGGCAGGGAGAGGCTCTGCGTGCAGCCACCCCCACCCCGTAACCCCCCAGGCACCCAACCTGTGATCTTGGCCGTGAAGGGACTGCCGGGGATGTGCTTGTCGTTGTACTTGACCAGGATGCTGTAGTCGCCCGGCAGGGTGGGCAGGTAGGTCACCGTGCACGTCCCATCTTTGTTGTCGATGCAGCTGATTTCGGCCTTCGAGGGGCCCTCGATAGCCAGGTCCAGACCCCCTGGGGGTGGAGGTGGGGAGGGAGGGGTTAGGGGAAGAGAGCGACCTTGTTTCCAACAGGGACAACAACTCATCTTGGGTGTCCTGGAGGCCAGGGCTACGGACCGACACTCCACTCGAGCTGTGGGCAAGGGGCTCGGGCCATCAGAACAAAGCAGTGAGCAAGGGAAAAGCAAATGCCCACTGGGCAGCTGCGCCCACAGCCAGTGGTCCTGGCATCTTCGGATGTGTGGGCCGAGAACGGGGTGGAGCTGAGCATGTCGACCACAGGCGGGAGGGTGTCCCTCAATAAAGGGCAGCACTGGCCAGCACCAGATGCCACCAGGGAAGTCCAGTTGGAAGCACACATGCTGAACTTCTAGGAGAGACTATCAATAGCTGGGGCGAGCCTTGGGTTAGACACAGGGATGGGTGTAAGACAGCAAAGGCCCAAGCCGGCACGGCACCTTCCAGGCCAGTCACATAGAATCTTTCACAACAGTGAATGTGATTTCAGTTGGGGCACAAAAGGCTGCCAGTGTCTCAGTGTGGGGCAGGAGGTTGCTGCCGAAGTGGCAGGTTTCTACATGGTAAGCCAGGGTTAGACAGACAAGTCTTGGTTCTAGAAGCTGCCCTAGAATCACATCCCCTTGGCTCTCCAACCCGCACAAAAACACAAAGACACACGTCCTACCTTCTCCCGCGTCCTCGGTGACAATGGTGAAGGTGGCGGTTTTGTTGGCCACTCCGTACACCAGGCCGGGGCCGTAGGCAGACACGCTTCCGCTGTTGGGGTAGTTCACGTAGAACTGGAGCGGGCTCTCTTGGGGTGCAAAGGACACAAGCAAGATCGTCACAAAGGGCGCACACGCCATGGACAACTCACCCAGAGCACAGCCTATCCCCAGGTTGGCTTGGCAGTTCCTGTGCAAAGGCAGAAGGTAAAAACCCGAGGGTGAGAGAGTCCCCATCAGAGGCACCCAAGGGAGTATCGCTCCTTCAATCACGACGCAGGAAAATCTACCCCGAGTCCACTCCAGGTGAGGGAGGCAGGGCAGATGCAGGGGGTTTAGCTCAAGTTGGCAAAGACGGAGTGAACCTCTGAGCTGCATGGAAGATAGAGTTCCGCCATTGGCACTACATCCCTGGAACTACGAGAGGGAGCGTGCTGGGAGAGGCCCTTTGGAGAGCCATTTGTCTGCACCTTTCAAACTGTGAGGCCCTATGTCTAGGAATCTATCCTCCAGGGAGATTCCTACACAAGGGCTTTCATTTCTGTATAGCTCAGATGCAAAAGAGGAAAAGATCCCAGAGTCCAGTAACACCAGAAGCAATCAGCCACACAGCTTCCACCCAGCCAGCTGTACTCCCTGGTTTTCAGAGGTGGTGAATGCTTACGGACAGACTGCCAGGCCTTTTTCTGAGGTATCCCTGGGTGGGTTTGAACTGTGGACCTTTTGTTCAGCAGCCAAGTTCTTAATTGTCTGTGCCACCCAGGCATGCCTCCTACAAAAAACACTGGCTTGTTCGTGCAGCCCTTAAAATAAGGGGGACCTGGGTGTAGTACCTACATTGAGAGATGATATGTAAGGTGCTACATTAAAAAGAATAGTCAGTTTCTACACAGGACTTATATTGATACAGTATCTCAATTCTTTAAAAACAAACTGTGTGTGGGAGGCATATTTAACAAACAAACAAACAAACAAACAAACGGTGTGCACGTTGTAGGAAGCACAGGAAAGCACCTGGAAAGGCACCTGTTAGACTTGCCACGGAAATTGAAGGGAAGTCAGGAATTCGCTTTTTTACATTCTAGGCATCTCTATCTTTAGAATATTGACACAGGAGCAGACAACACAATTTTACTTTAAGCAAATATCATACACGTTATGCTCACGTGCATACTATTTACCCCGGCATTACACACATACTCACATTAACTAAAGCAAACGCTAAACCAGGTGAAGTATCTGCAGGGCCTATCACCAAGGCCTAATCTTGCTGATATTCAAATCGCTCTGAGAAACCGATGTGAAAAATGGCCAACCACCAAACAAAGGGGGGGGGGTCCCCAAAAATGAGCCAATGATATAATCACTCCGTGAAGAGAATGAAATGCAAATGAGACTTACCCATGGAACCCTGCTCAGCCCCGTTCAGGAGAGGAGCACAAACAACGAGAGAGGGGGATCATGCTCCCCAACACCAGCTTGGCAGAGACCCACAAACTTGACAGACAGCACGCTCCACGGGCAAATCGGCGGAAGCCCAGGTGCTCTCAGTGCCTGCTGGTGGCTGTGCACTGGGAACGAGCTCTATGGGGGACAAGCGAGCTGAACTATGGGTGCCAGCACTCTGTGCTCCCACCATTCCTACTCCTGAGGGAAGTGATGTCCTTAAGACTTAGGAGAAGCTGGGGACCGTGTCCTCAGCAAGGGACATGGCTAACTACAAAACGGTGCGTCTGCAGGGGAAGAGCACAGAGCAGTGTGCTCTGGGCATGGATGGCTCCGCTGGGCACAGTCAGATGGAAGGAGCAGGGGCAGCACTGGGTGCAGAATGTAGAACAAACACTGGCTGCTGCTGAGTCGATTCTGACTGCTGGGGATGCCCTGTGTGCTGGGGTAAAACTGTGCCCCCATGAATTTCCAACGGGGGCTTTCTCCAAGTCAGCAGCTGAGCCCACGGGCCACTCGCAGCACCCTGGGACTCCACATGTAGGACTGGCTGCTGTTTATCTTTAAGAAAGGGTGGATGGGGAGGGGTTAAAAAGTCTGTATGCTGTTACCTATGGATTCCTCAAGATTCTCTGAGATGGAATATAAAGAAATGTAAACCAACACCAGTCAAGTTCAAAGAGAGGGCAGAGGAGCATAGGGGTGGGGCAGGTACTCTCACTGCATTATTTAAACGTTTACAACCAAGGAAGGGGTTCCCTAACTCAGAACGTTGGAGTGAGTAGTGAAGAGAGGTTTAAATAACTAAAACAAGAACACCACGCTGGCCGACTAGCTCGTGGGAATGGAACTAAAGCTGGCTCTCCTTGCCCCGGGCTCCAGGACACCCAGGCACTGTTGTCCTGGTCTCCCTAGCACCCTCCGCACCCTCTCGGGCCTCCTCGCAGGATGCAGGCCAGCCTGGAAAATCCCTCACGGTGCTGCTCGCTTTCCTCCCAGCAGCTCACCCTCCAGCTGCACTCTGCATAACGACAAAGACACACGGCCCGGGCCCAGGGACCCGATCCACGGAGGGGCAGCAGCTCTCCTGCAAACGGCCAGCTAGTCCGCGGCCTTCCAAGACCCGCCACCGCCACCGAGAGCCATCCAGTCAAGTTCTGAGTCCTGCTGGGCCGCCCCGGCCCAACTCACCGGGGATGTGGCTGCCCATGTATTTGATGTGCATCTCGTGGAGGCCGACCTCGGTGGGGGCGTATCGCACGGTCACCGTGCCGTCCTTGTTGTCCACAATCTCGGGGGTGGCCGTCTTCCCGGAAGGCATGTGGACCTCCCCTAAGAGCGCAGGGAGACAGGACAATGAGGCCTTCGACAGCTTCCCTGGGAGAGTCTGAGCAGAGAGGCTCAGGGCGCCTTCGAAGTCAAGAGCACTTGTCAGTGCCTCAAGCATCCAAGCCCCACAGCGGGAAGAGAGCCCGATCTCCTTTCAGACACACTCCCTCCGGATCCCACCAAACACAGCCGCGCTGGAAGCTCACAAGGGGGTTGACCAAGGCCACAGCACAGGAGGCTGAGGACAGCAGCAACTCAGAGAGCAGCAGGCCCGGAAGGAGACTGGACAGAGCAAGTCCTGGGGAGGAGACGCCGGCGCCACGGGCAGATGGGGGCAGGCTGGAGATGAAGAGAAGGCAGGGCAACCTGGGGCCAGGATAGCCCCGGGGGGGTCTGGGCACAGCAGCCTCAGCCCTAAGATGATGGCAGCTGGCCTGCCTGCAGTCGAACACAAAGGCACACAGACCAGTCTGTCCCCCCGGGGTCTCGTGAGCCAAGTCAAGAACCACAGGTGCCTGGCTAAGGAGCCCTGGTCTGGTGGACGGGGGAAGTCACCTTCCAGCACCTTCCGGGAGAGCTGACAAGAGCTTGGGAGAGGGAGGCGGCTTTCGTCAGATGACTTACCAGTGATTTCTCCTTTCCGGACTGCGAACGGGATGACCAAGTCGAAAGGCTTAAATCCCAGGCCGTTCATGTCACTCACAGGGACATAGGCCTCTTCAGTTACCTGCAACAGGAAGCAAGGGTCACCGGGTCAAGCGGACAACAGAGTGGGCCAGTGAGAACACAGGGGGCTGAGCAGCTGGGGATTTTGCAAGCCCTCGAGCTAGGATCTGGGGACATGCTGCCCCGGGGGTCGTCCAGGCTTTGTGGATTGGCACCTGGGGATGCGGGGCAAAGCCTAAAGGATGTGCGACATCGTCACACTGACCAATTACTAGAAAGCCCTTTGCTTGTAAAATTCCCAGCCTTGCCCACAGCACAGAGGAAAGGTGAGAGAGCAATGTCCGTGCGTCCCAAAAGGCTCCACCTGGAAAGGTTTAGTTGCTTGTGGCCTGAAAGAGAAAGTGCGTTTTAAGTGGCGGCAGCGCGTAAAGCAGTGGCTTCCCCTGAACAGAAACCCAGTGAGCCAGCGGTGGTGGTGAGAGCCGGCGGGCGGGAGACGGCCGTCCGTCTTTCTCGTTACACACAGAGACACACCGGGCCCAGCGTGATCACAGACATGACATGAGGGGATGGGGGAGGCGATTCATGGAGTGCACACGACGACGACACCAGGGGGACAGCTTATCACAGAGAAGCGGGGTGTTGTGATGGGCTGATCGGAGGGGCAGAAATGAATGACCAGGACACCCAGAGGGCGGAAGCAGTCCCCAGAAGCAGGCCGCAGCTTTTCTGAAATGAATGCAGATCAACAAAAAGGAAAGGGGGGCAAAAAAAAATGTGTACCCAGGGCCTGAATCCAGGGGGACATGCATTTACCACCGGTGCCTCCTCCACGGCCGTGACTTCCCCGTCTGTGGCCTGGATGGTTGCAAATGGAGATTAGTGGGGAATCACATTGCAGGGCTATCGCTACTCAGAAGGTACCTCGCCCTGAGCGGGGCAGTGGGCTTGGGCGGAGCGTGCAGTGTTGACACCCTCCCCTCCCACTGGCCTCCAATGCCAAATCCACCGCCCCTGGGATGCACAAGCCCCACTTCGGTGAAGGAGCCGGCCTGAGGACACCGGAGGCAGGGCCCAGGTCTACAATGCGGGCAAGGAGTCCTGCCGGTAACAATGGAGGCAACCCCGACACCCCTCTGTCAGAGGCCCGTCGCATATAGGACAGGGAATCTGCACAGCCGGGCTGGTGAGGTCATTCCAAGTGCTGGGTGTTAGGGACCTGGGGCACAGGGAAGGTCCCCACTGGGTGCCGCTGGGTGCTCCCGTGAATAAGACGTAGGGAAGATAAACATCAGTCTTGTCGCTGCAACACGGGACTGGGCAAGGGGACTTTTCCCCTGCTGGGCAAGGGGTTAATGCCTCAAAGTTTCAAATACATAAATTTGTTAGTAAAAGGTAAAGTCTTAAATGTCCTCCAAACCCAAGAAACCGGCTAAGGGGCTGTCCCCCGGGCCCCTACGCCCTGGTGTCCTGCCTTGACAAGATCTCTGTCTCTGCTATGCAGAGGATGAGCCCATCCTTTCCAGGTGTTGTGGCATGTGCAGAAAGGGGTCTTTACTCAAAAGCCTGGGCCCCCGCTCCTAGGGCCCTCTCAGATGCTCAGATTGGGGCTATGCGGTGAGGCTGACTGGTGCCCTTTGACCCCAGGCCTCCCAATGCCAAGCCACGGCTGCTAGGCCAGCGGCTTCCCTTCTTATGCCACGTGTGCCTGAGGCACCTAACTAAGCCAGGAGGCTGTGGTCTCTGTGAGACACTGGTTAGGAACAGTCTTGGGTGGCCATGGTCTTCAGGTCCCACGCCTGTAGGGGAGGCGAGGAGTCTGCCCAGCTAAAGTGAATGACCAGAAAGTCAGTCTGCTAGGGAAGGCTGGAAAGGGAGAATACAGACCCAAATCAAGTCCTTTTATGCCTTTGGCAGTAGTCAGGGAGCAGTGTGTGCATACCCTGGCCGTGGTTGCTGCAGTCCCTGACTGGTGTACACCAGGGTGGCAAAGTCCTGGTTCACAGGGACCCTTTGGCCTTTCCATTTGTATCTACAGGGGTTTCACTGGCTGGACAAGACTGGTCTTCCTAGTCCATCTTAGTGTGGAGGCTGTGTTGGAATCTGTTCCACATCCTAAGCGACAGGCAAGCCTCCACTGACAGACAGGCGGGGGCTGTGCATGAGACACACTGGGTGAACCGGAAATTGGGTATTCCACAGTCAAACCGGACTCACTGCTGTAGAGTGGATTCCTACTCACAGCGACCCGAAAGGACAGGATGGAAGAGCCCCTGTGGGTTTCTGAGATTGAAACGCTTCATGGGAATAGAGAGCCTCGTCTTTCTCCTGCAGAGCAGCTGGTGGTTTTAAACTGCTGACCCTGCTGTTAGCAGCCCCATATGTCATCCACTAGGCCACCAGGACTCCAGGAAGGTGAGAATTCTACCACTGAACCCACTACTACCTGCGGGGAACGCTTACAGGTCCGGGCTCTGGCCTGCCTGCTCAAACGGTCCTCCACATCTGACACTGATTTTCACAGGCAAACCCTGCCAGCATGGCCTTGCCCTGCCCCTCCATCCAGAGGCTACTCTTCCACCCTGCCCAATGCTAACCAATCAGACAGAGCCTGCCCCGGGGCTGAAAACAGATGCTTCAAGTGGCATAGGGGATCCTGCTCTATAAACAAGAAACACATAGCATTCTAGCGGCACTGCTCCCCTGTAGGAGAAAAACCACTTCCGAGAGAACATGGTCAAAAGATGACAAGTGTTTACATACTCGAGACATGAAAGAGCCTCCCAGATCTCTGGCAAATGTTGACAGATAAACAGATGTCTAGGAAAGGAGGGGGGAAAGCTATAACAGATTAGAATCTGTTTGGAAGAAAGTCCTTCTGTTTAAACTGGAGCCTGCTTGCCCCTCCCCACGGCTGCGCAGAGTGAAGTAATTATAAGGCGGTTTGTAGGCTGTGCATGGGGCCGGGTCATTAAGGGGCGAGGAGTGTTTGTGGTCAAGTGTGGCTGCTGCCCTTGACATCAAAGGGCAGTGGGGGAGGGAGATGGCGTGGCACTCGGTGGCTGGCCCGATTCAGAAGACCCTGGAAGCTCAGAATCCCCTCCCGGGTGAGTCGGTCGGCAGCGCTGACAGAAGAGATGGCAGCACCTTGAAAGAGCAGATCGGGAACTGAGGGAGCAGCGAGTTTATGGGACTTGGCTTCTAGGTGCATGCAGACTTGGGAAAGAAGGGGGAGGAAGGTCACACAACTTGGAGACTGTCCCCGGAGCCACCACACGTAGAAGTCGCCGGGTGGGCCTGTGCCTTGCTCTGTCTGTTCTCAGTAAGAACTGCAGCAAAAAGTATGAGCCAAAGCCATCAACACACTCTGGGTGTTTGAGGGTCGAGTGAGAGAAGCACCTTGAGTTTCTAGCCATGCTCCTGTGCGAAGAATGTTAAGAATCGGAAGAAGAGGTCAAAGTCACTCAGAACGTTCTAAAATGTCTTGTGATAAGGATGGTACACCTCTTCTTGACCTAACTGGACTATTAAATGGTGTGACATGTGGATTATGTCCCAATAAAACTGTTAAAAAAGAAAAGAAAAAAAGTCACTCAGAACTGAAAATTAAGGACCCTAGTCATTCCCTAGTCCAGACATTTGCATAATGGTTTCCTTTGCTCCAGATGGCCCCAGTTTCTAAAGACAAGGCATTTCCCCTCCTTCCCCCAATAAGCAAAACATAACCAGAGGTGCTTGGAGGCCTGGGACACGAGAGCCAAGTCCCCAGAGAAAGCAGCGTCCTCTCTCGGCCAGCTGGGAGACGGCGATGCTCTCCTTTATAAACATACTCTGTCGAAGTGGACGTCTCTGAACAGGCTTAGGCCAGATGCCGCCTATGTCCCTGACGGTGGAAGGAAGGAAACCTCGGTGACCGGTAAGATTTCCTAAATCAAAGAGTCTCTGAGTTTCCAGAGATTACTCCAGAACTCCACAAAGTCAGGACCGCCTTAAAACACGAGGAGTGGCCCCAGCCTGGACGGAGTACATCTGGGCTCTAGGTTTGAGCAGAGAGCGGCCTGCTCTGGGGAGGAGTCTGCCTTACCATGACGGTGAAGGGGCTGTTGGGAATATCCACGCCACCAAAGCGCACGTAGATCACGTAGGTGCCCGGCTTGGCAGCGGTGTAGAAGATGTCGTAGGTGCCATCCTTGTTCTCAATGACCTCGGCCTCCGCCTCAGTGCCGTCCGGAGTCAGAACCGTGCAGGTCACTTTCCCCTTCCCGGCAGTCTTGGCGTCGACCACAAACCCCACTTCCTCACCCGTTTTCACGACGGAGGCGATTCCAGGGCCTGCAGAGAAACGCGTTCAGAAGCAGAGGGTGGGCGAGTCCGCTCCTGGCACTCACTTGCCCTGGATGCTTCAGAACACATCACACTCTTTCACGTTGGGGGCGGGTGGGCACCCAGAGAACAGGCAGGGGTGGTGCTGCTGCAGGCGGGAGCATTTCATCAAGCTCTTATAAAATAAGGAAGACTGGCTTCTGAGCATCAACCAGATGTGACGCCTGGGTCACCAGCATTCAGGGTGTGGGGATGAGGGAGCACCAAACATCCTTTAGCCACTTGCTGGGGACTGGGGACAGAAAGGTGAGCAGGACACAGCCCGGGCTCTCAAGGAGCGGGCAGGCTACTGGACGAAGGCAGCGGGAATGACAGATCAACCTGCCAGAAAAATAACAAGGGGACTAAGCTACAGATCAGGAGCCAGGGTGGCGTAGCGGTTCCTCGCTGGGCTGCTAATCTCAAGGTATGCCATCTGAAACCACCAACAGCCCCAAGGGGCAAAGGTGGAGTTACAATCTCAGAAACCCCTGGGGCCCTTCTACCCTGCCCTATAGCATCGATAAGAGTCAGAATCAATCCGACTGCGGAGAGTATGTGCCGTCACAGAGAACCTCTTGCTCTTTAGAGATGTGCTTGCTCTGAGAATTTCGATCACACAGTTGACACTCAGACAGAGGCTCCCTGGAAAAAGTAAAAGAGGGGCGGGGGCCGGAAATAGAAGGCTACATTCTGACAGGCACTCTTGGCCAGGGGAGAGTTAGGACATATTCCATCAATGACCAGTTGACTCTGTCTCACTGATTTGTGGCACCCCTTAACAAAGGATTTACAGTCTCAGGGAAGACAGGAAACAGAAACTAAACAGTGCAGTGGAAGAGAAGCGTGGAGCTGATTGACGGAGCATCTTGAAGGTGTAGTTCAGGCTGGTGCAGTTCAAAGCTGAGAAGAGGATTCAACTGGGACAGAGCCGGAGGAAGGGGCAAGGAGGAAGTTCCCACCCAACATTAACCCTCAGGGAAGCACAGACAATCCAGTCTGTCTCTGGCAACCAGCCGGAGGAGGTGTGGCATTGACTTCACGCCCTCTGCCTCAGGGTGACCGTAAGGACAGAGGAACTGCCGCTGTGGGTTTCCGAGGCTACAAATCCTGAGGGAAGAAGAAACATCATCCTTCTCCCTCATAGCGGCTGGTGAGTCTGAACTGCCAACCTCGCCGTTAACACCCTGACTCATACTCCACC